GAACACCAGCAGAATGAAATACTGATTTCTACCATTTATGACTTCTGGTGCTTTTAATATCTAAGGATTAGCTATTGGGGAATTGTATGCTTTGGGAATTATCTAGAATACAGTTTTAATGGGACATATATACAGTCATAAAAATAAAAAAAGACCATGTCCCTTGCATATGGTGCTGAAAATGTGTGGCTCCAGAATCAGAGCAGCCAGTGGAATTTGTACTAAATGGGAAAGTTGTTCTGTAACTATGACCGGTATACAATCTCGGCCAAATAAGCTTATTCTGCAAATGAGCTTAAATGTGTTAAGAGCTGGCGTCATGTCTTGTTGCTTATCCCGCACGTTATAGGAAAACCTCACTTTATAGGAAAACCTAACACTGAGCTTCTTTTATTTGGTCTGTCAGATATACTATGAAAGCGTTTTGTTATATCTGTAGCATAAAAGCAAAAAATAAGCATTGATCGATCCAGAAATCTTGTCGGCCGCTAACTTTCTTTGCCGTACTTTTTAGATACAATGTTCCCTGCTATCCCAGAACTAAACAGCCCTTCCCCTATTTTATATAGATAAGAGGGGTAGATTAGTGTAGTCTGTCCTAGGGTGACAATGCTGCTTCTTCAAAGATACAGTGAGGTGTTGTCACACTTAAGACAGAAATTGTGTTACTGGCAGGAATGAAATGAAAAGCAGTCGAGTATGACATCTTTCATTCCTATTATTCCTGTGACAAAACAGTCAAAGCGTTTGGTTTTAGCTGTGACATATTACCTTTCCTTATTCTCTTTAAATGCGTTTAGTTTGTCTTGGCTGCAATGAGAAGGGCTCGGGTAAACAGCTAAATTACGTTGATAATGCCAGGTCTTGTAAGTTTTTCCATCATGATATTTAACCTGACATAGTCCTTAACTGTATCGCATTCCTTGCCCTCCTAGGTCTTTCTCATGAGTGTCTGGAGATGACCTTAGAACTGCTTGGGTGACAACTAGGTTTGTTCTCATTCATTGCAGTTTCAAGGACAATGTACCCAGGAATAAGAAGGAAACAAGTAATGTGTGGAATTTTTTAAAAGTGTATTTCCACTTTTCCAATCTCATAAGGAAAACACCAACTTTAAATGTGTTTAAATGCTCCCATTCACATAACATAATTTTAAAAATTGCATCTTACCTTTTATGATATTTCTGCAAACTGCAGAACTGAACATTATTGCTTAATTAACCCTGTCTGTACTATATAGATATATTTAACATTTCAGTAAAGTAAATAGATACAGATCGTTACAAGCATACATTGTCCAGAACAAAACAAAACCAGTAAAATATTTAATGACACCGATATGTTGGACTCTTATGTGTGAGATAAAAAAAAGACAAATGCTAGTATCGATGTTGCTGGAAATAACGTTGTCTACTTAATAAACTCAGCGACTCTAACATGCCATGAAAACAGGGATAAAAACATTAGGAAACATGAAAGAAAATGAGAAGAGAGGGAAAAGAAAGAAAGGGGAATAAGCAAAGAGAACAGAGAGGAAAAAAAAAAGAAGGGAGAAAGAGTCTGTGCCTAACTACCATGGCATTTTATAATTTTAAAGGCATAGAAAACATCATTAAATGTTATGTCATTGGATCTTAGTTCTAGCTTAGCACCTAAGGGTACTTGAACTAAGTAAAAGTAAATATATTTATGGTAACACTATATTCAGTATTTTCTGTTTCAGCTGTCCCCTTTTGTACCTGAGTAACATCTAAATTAGGCCAATAAAAGAAACCAGTGTACTCAATTCTAAATTCTTAGGCCCCATTCCCACTTGTTGCCCAGGAAATCTAACAAAAAAAAAAAATATCTGTCACACTTGTG